TGCATGAATATCTTGGAACCTACTTGGTTGAAATTTGGTGCAGGTATTTGAAGTGATGAGTAGCTCGTTCAGCCCTGACCAGATTGAAATTATTAGGTTATTCACCCCTCAAGTTTTGACTTCCCATTTATCATGAATAGAATATAACTTTATTTGTCACTGAAGTTATAACAAAAAGGAATACAAAATGTATAACTTATTGGACTCGTCACAAAATGTGATGTAAATTTAGTATTTAGTCTACATATAAAAATCAGCACGTGAAGAAGTATAACAAAACAAATACAGACATATATAAAAATATACCTAATTACAACATATTAGTTCATGTCTCTAGAAATTCCTCTAACGAGTAGAATGCCCTGGATTCTAAATACTTGTAAGGGAGATTTTGAAAATCCTCAGATCGGCTAGATCAATTTTGCTATAAAACAAATCTATTATACCAGAGAATACCTTCATACAGGGTGTAACTGAATAAGTGTAAAACATTTCAGGAGGTGATTCCTCATCGAAAAAAAGATAGGATCTTAAGGATATTAAGAAACTTCATTGGAGCATCCCTTATTAAGATACAGCTTCTTAAAGGAGGTACATAAAATTTGTATAACAATTTTTTTCACAAGCACTGAAAAAGTTACAATATTGAAATTAACCTGACGTTTTGTACTACCAAAAAGACACTTTACTTTTTGCCCAAAATAAACTAGTTTTCTTCAAAAAATTATTTTACGAACAACTACAGAGATACATCGTCATAAATGCGAACTGAATTTATTGTTATTTTGTAGTTAGTACCTGCATTAAACGATTAAAGGGCAATAAACAAAACTAATTTATTAATAACAAAACACACAACATGTAGAAATCATAGTAAGTGTTCAATATGTCTACCTTCAGACATGCGTCTAGACGTCGGCGCATTGAACCACGTATTCGCTCAAATATTCCTGGAGTCTCTCTGATTACCCTGCACGCATCGATGATTCGGTTTCTTACGTCCTCTACATCGCGAACAGGAGTACGATAAACCAAATGCTGTAAATGGCCCCAAATATAGAAATCGAGAGGATTGAGATCCGGGGATCGAGCGGGCTAGTTCTGTGGTCCTTCTCGACCTATCCACTGATTTGCATATGTTTCAGTTGAATGCTGACGTGCTACTCGACTAAAATGGGCTGGAGCCTCATCATGCAAAAAAAAACATATCCCTTCTGACGCCCAAAGGAACTTCCTCCAGCAGTACTGGATGCACCTCTCTTAAAAATTGAAAGTATGCCTCATCATTTAATCGAGAAGGTAGAAAATGAGGCCCAATTAAATCATCCCCAATAACTCCGAGATACACGTTGATAGAAAACTGTTCTTGATGGTTAGTTTCGACAATAGCGTGAGGGTTTTCATCATCCCATATGCGGTATTTATGAAAATTAATAATCTTGTCCCGAGAAAAACTACATTCGTCTGTGAATTCTATCGTCTTCAGGAAGTCACAATTTCTTCTAATCATTTCCAGCATCCAATTGCAAAATTCAAGACGGTTCGGAAAGTCTCGCGGTAACAGTGCCTGTAATCGTTGCAGATGGTAAGGGTATAAGAGTTGTTCCTTTAAAATTCGAAATACCGTCATATGATCAACAAGTGAATTATTAAAGTAACAAATTAAGAACAGAACAACAACACACAATTAGTATTAATTCAATTTCGGAAACTCACAAACTGACAGCGTCATACCAATTTTATTGTCACTATCGCTAATAGCGACCTATAAGATAGATTAGTTTGGTATTTTCGCATTTATGACGATGTATCTCTGTAGTTGTTCTTAAAATAATTTTTTGCTGCGAACTGGTTTATTTTGGGCAAAAAACCCAAGAGGCATTTTTTTGTTTAGAATGAAACAGGCTATCGGAAACAGATTTTTAAATGGTAAATAAATAATAAGACAAAAAGTTATATTGAAAATAAATTTTAGGGGTTGCGTTTTCCACCCCTTACAACCATGGGGTAAACCAAATAAATTTCTGGCTAAGTATCTTTTTGGTAGTACAAAACGTCAGGCTAATTTCAATATTGTAACTTTTTTAGTGCTTGTGAAAAAATTGTTATACAAATTTTATGTACCCCCTTCAAGGGGCTGTATCTCAACAAGGGATGCTCCAATTAAATTTCTTTATATGAAAGATCCCATCTTTTTTTTTATGAGGATTCACCTCCTTCAATGTTTTACACTCATTTAGTTGCACCCTGTATATGTGCGAGTTTTGTCCAATGTCAGTCCAACTCAATAGACAAGTTCATTGTCCTTCGGTATGGACCAAGATGCACCAACGAATTAAATCGCATTTTCAAAAAGTTGAACGTGACAATAGCCTCCAGAACTTCTTGTTCCCTTCAAAAAATGTTAGCTAACCCTAGAGACAAGATATTGGAACATGAAAGGTCAGGGCTATAAGATAAAAATACATATATCAGACTAAACAAGCTATTGAAACTCGTTTCAAAGAACACTCAGCAGATTTAGGAGTCCAGAAAATCTAGTTCTGCTCCTTGAAAAACTGAACAGAATAGAATAAAATGAATAGATGAATAAAGTAAACGTGAAAGTGTGCCCTGATGAATAAAGAGACCGATTTCAAAGTTATGAATTAGTTTACTTCATCTTCTGAAGACGCCAACATGGTTAGTAAAACGCTTGACAAGAAAAGTGTGGCAGTTCAAGTGTTTAGGAACAGTATTTGTTTTGAATAACATTGAGCATATTTCGAAATGAAATTGCCTCATCATTACAAAAATATTATTCTTTGGAAGAGCGTTGAAATGATATCTCACAACTTCTTAGTTTTTTTTTCGAAGGATTCATCAGGTGAAAGCATATAAAAAGCACATAAAAAGCAAAACACGACAAGCTTTCATGGGAATCATGTACAAGTCTTGTAGGAATAAATCTGCAGATCAACCATCACAAATCTGCTCATTTTTCAACACTGTGTAATAGATGCCTTCGAAAATAGACACCAGGTGAATTCTATTCACACAGATTTTTCAAAGGCATTTGACAGACAATTTGTTGTTGCATAAACTAAACGCTTTGGGTATTCAAGAAAACATTCTGAAGTGGATTGAAAATTATCTAGCCTGCAGAGTACAATTTGGTAAATATGGTAACTCAGTATCTTCCTCAATCACAGTTTCATCGGGTGTACCACAGGGTTCTCATTTAGGGCCATTGTTTTTCAACCTATTTGTAAATGACTTGAAAGATGTTATTCTTTATAGTAAATTTCTTTTGTTTGCTGATGACCTGAAGATGTTTAAAGTTATTCATGACTCAATTGATACAAAATTATTACAGTACGATTTATCTAACTCTGTTCGCTGGTGTGATATAGATCTACTGCAATAAAATATAAACAAATGTCAAAAATTTATTTTTTTCCGAAACAAAATATAAAATCAATCAATCAGAACTGAAAACAACAAACACAATCAGAGATTTAGGAATCACTCCCAAAAATGTCATTTAAACCCCATATTGCAAATATTACTCCTGAAGCGCTAAAAATGTTGGGTTTCATTCTTAGCTCTGCAAATGAATTATCTCTCACTTCAATAAAAATCATCTACTGTTCAATTGTTAGATCAATAATCGAAAACATTTCCACAATTTGGTGCCCTATCATATCATGTGGATATTGATATGCTTGAAAGTGTTCAAAATGAGTTTTTAAGGTACTCTGCATATAAACTGGGATATAATATTGGTGAATATGACTTATAAAATTATATTGGGCATAGAAGCTCATAGAAGATCAGAAGCAGATCATACATTAATTCATAAAATAATGAATAGTAGAATCAATTCCCCGGAACTTGTCGAACTTATAACTTCAAATGTGAATCCAATATAAAAATAATAATAATAATCGTCTTTATTATTTCCCAGCTGAAGTTACATACAATTATTTAAATAAATTACAGAGCTAGTTGCTGATGTAACAAAAGGCGAAGTTCAACTCACTTAGCACAAGTGCTACTGAGTTGTTCTTCCACTCAACCTCAAAAAGATTCTACCTAAGCTAAAACAAAATGAAAGTAATGCATAAAAAAAAATTGGGATTGTTCAAATATCTATTAGGATGCTGGAGAAGACGTCCATTACTGAGACTTATTCTGCTCTCATAATGATGAAAAAAGTATAGGGTTGGGCAGTTTATACTCAAAGTTGGCTTTCGAACAAAAGGAGTTTGAATCTTTTCCGTAAAACAGAAAGTTCTGAGTTTCTTATTTCTTTTGGTAACAGGTTGATCACTTGGCATATATTATAGCTAAAAGATCGCTTGAAAATTTCAGTTTTAAAACTAGGCGGGGTAAGAGTACCCTTAAATCTGATGTTCAGATTGTGAACATCAGTACGGAAAGTGATTTTTCTGTACAGATAAGGCGGCGTTTTGGTTTGTATAATTTTGTTATATAAATTAGCAGAATTCAATGTGTGAACTTGTTAATTATCTTGTAAGAAATAGGCATTGCCGTAAATAAATAAATGAACGAATACATGAAACCTGTCATATATGACGTTACATTGAAAAACAAAACACATTTCCAACGATACTAAAATACACGTACCAAGAAAGTACCAAAATGTAGCCCAGTAGTACGTCCAGAAACGTACGTACTCGAAACATCCCTCATTGATCCATCTTCGTAAAGACCTAATACATACGTCCCCAGTACGTCGTGTACTATATGGATACCTACCTACCCAGTATACATCATCTAACCATAATATGCACATTCCAAAAACCCTGTAACTATTTTTTGAAGGCATTATCATTCACGTCACATGAATGCTTAAATTTTAACGTACGAATCATTCCTACACCGCTTCTTAAAATAGTCCTAGATTTAATATATAATTCAATAATGCAAACTTTTCTTATGTGTTGCCACACACTGTAGGAAATAAGTTACAAACGTTCTTTCTTCTTCATCCATAGGACGAATTCCATCCGTTCATCGAGGCCCTTCTGCCGTTCGTCAAGTCCTTCTCCTACACTTGGTTCAACCTGCAAGCGGCTAAGAGAAAGTATTACAAAAAACACGAGAAACGTATGTCTTTGGAGGAGGAGAGACAGTGCAAAGAGGCCTTACAGGTAACAACAATAAAATCAATAATTTTCTGAAGTGCTATATTGGCCAAGCTGGGCGTTCTCGGGTAACTAGATTTTTGGAACATGATAGGTATACAAAAAAGTTACCAATTGAATTTCCATGGTGAAACATTCCAAAAAAAGAAGGAATGAAAGTATTGACAGCATGAAAATAGTGATGAAACGAAGCAAATAGTGTTTTCATTTCGTGAAAAATAAATTGAAGTCGATCCAAAGTACGGGGGATAGAATAGGGCGGATTGTCATGACTTTCACTGAAACTTAAGCTCCTATTGGAGAAAATTTAGGGATCTACAACTTTTGTATGAACCATTTTTGCACATAACCTGGAATTTGACAAAAAATATAAAAATGAGCTCTTCCGTTCTCCCACAAAAATAATTTTTTTATCGTGACATTTGGTGGAAACTCGCCTTTTATTTTTGTTAGGCTATCATGCTTCAACTTTTTCAAGTCAAAATATCCAGTATGATATTTTATTTCGATGTTAAACCTGAAATATGCCCTATTTTCAGCCTGAACTACCCATGTTTTGAAAACATAGGTAATCCGTTTCAAAACCATCTCATTGCAGGGGATATGATGGGTTGTACAATACTATGGATAAAATTGTCAGCAACTGCGAACAAATGAAAAAAGTTTTTAATATTTACAAATACCTTCAGTTGAAAAATGTAGAATGTTATATTACATCATTTAATGAAGTAATGACAAACCGTTGTATTAACAGATTTCTCATGATTGAATAATGGGTTTTGAATGGTCTTGACTGGAAAATGAATATGATCAATATTTTTCAATACATAAAAATTGATTTATCAGTGTTGGCATAAAAAGTCTTATAATGAAAAGATGAATTTATACTCATTCAATGAAAGTATGCATTTGAAATTTGAAAAAAGTATAACTAAGTATGCAGGCTGTATATACTCGATAGCGTCCATATGAGTATATAGATTATAACTTTTTGTCTCTCCAAGCGAGATGAAGTTGAAGGCCAGTTCAGAAGTCTACGGTATTTTACCATAGGCTGATAATTATTATAACAAACTTTTGGTCCAGAATGGTTTCATATTATCGAACAACATCATTCATATATGCTTATTATTGTAAAGGTTGAATGTCATTGTTTTTCCATCGATTTTTCAGGAGATATTCATCAGAGAACTACTATAATGAAAATAAAGCCAACTGGAAAAAGCTGCAAGTTACATTAGATTTTGTTACAATTCTGAAGACACAGGTAGATTTCAGCTTCCGAAACGTTGGACTTCCATTGTCTAATATGATATAATATGATATGAAATCTCTGAAAGAACAAATAAAAATAAAAATCAAGACGAATAGCCGAAAATAACAATTATATTAGGCAAAAAAACTCCTGAAGAGAAATTACAATAAAATAAAAATTGAGCAAATANAGTATACATGACTTATGAGCAGATTAGATTTTCGATATGTACGTAAATGCTGAAAAAAGTTGATTCGTCAAAAAACTGAACTATTAACACGAGTTGAGAAAATTTAAAAAATATCAACAAGAAATGAAATTTAAAATATTGGATTAAAATATTCCAAACCAAGTTACGTCACGACGTTTCGATTGTTAGTATTCACAATCGTCTTCGGGTGATAACTGGACACCTTTTAGGTCACCTATCCCCTCTTCCCTCTTTCCGCTTCATTGGTTTTAGCGGGAGCTGAACATTTGGCGGGAGTTGGTCGTGTTCAGTTTGATTAGAGGTTTCCATATGTTACATATCTCGACGCTAGCTTGAATGAATGCGTTGTTGGACAACATATATGCGGCTTTTCTGAATTTTCTCTTGAACCAGTGTTCCTCCTTGTGGATGATTTCAGCTTGAGCCCACTTGATGTTATGTTGATGAGTCCAAACATGCTCAGCTATTCTGGATTTGCTGGTTTCTCCTCGCTGTGTGTGTTTCTTATGCTCGGCAATGCGAACTTTCAATGGCCTCTTAGTTTCATCGATGTATGATTCTCCGCACTTGCAGGGTATCCGGTAAATGCAATTCTTGGAATCGCAGTCCATACTTTGAATTTGGGAAGTGACTTATTGGAGTGAAAAAATAATGATTGCCCTTTGTACACCTGTTTGAAGTTTTCCATTACAATTTCAATAATTTTCAGATCGTGAAAAATATAAACCAAAAAAAAAATCGATGAAAAACCTCTGATGTTCTTCACAAAAAATTAATTTTCTTCAGTAGTAATTTTTCTTCTTCTTCTTTTGAATGTCTGAAGTTACAAAATGTGCATTTTAATGAAATTATGTTTATAGAAGCGACGAATACGTTCCAAAGTGTCAATGAACTCGGTTAAAAATGTATTCGCAATGTATTGACAATATATTCATTTCTTTTTTCATTTGTTCCAGAACGAGAAAGCGGAAGTCAAACAGAAATGGGCATCTCGCCTGTTGGGCAAGCTGCGAAAGGATATTACTCAGGAATGCCGGGAGGATTTTGTGTTGAGCATAACAGGAAAACGTCCCGCCGTTTGTGTCCTATCCAATCCGGACCAAAAAGGCAAAATGCGCCGAATAGACTGCCTCCGCCAGGCCGACAAAGTCTGGCGACTTGATCTCGTTATGGTGATATTATTTAAAGCAATTCCTCTAGAGAGTACTGACGGTGAGAGGTTGGAGAAGAACCCGGACTGCTCACAACCTGGACTGTGTGTGAATCCATATCATATAAACGTGTCAGTGAGAGAACTGGATCTGTATCTAGCTAATTTCATCAACAGCCATGGTAATTTTTGATGTTATTTCTCCCATTTCAGATCCTCTACTTTACAGCGAACTTATTTAATGCACATTCATATCCGCCAATATACACTGCCGGTTCACTCCGTAATTTGAAGTTCTTCAAAAAAACAATTTTTAGTTGCCCAAATTTATTTGTTGATACTGAACAAGAACAATTTCACTTCTGTGTGCTAGGAAATGAAATGAACAATTTTTCTCCAGCATACATTCACTTGAAAAAATGTAAGGACTTCAGTAACGACTGTTTCCTCCTCTTGCAGTGATCAGATTCTGGATTTTCTACGGTAGATTTTCCCATTCTTGTACCAGTATGTCGCGTAGCTCTCTAGAATTTCTGGGAGCTGGTCTCCGTAAACTCTTTTCAAGCTCATCCCAAACATGTTCAATGGGATTCAAGTCCGAACTTTGCGCAGGCCAAACAAATCGCGATACTGAGTAACGATCCCGGCAGCGTGAGCCGTGCACCATCATGAATTAATGTTGCGTCGTCTCCAAGAGAAGACATGTATGGTAGAACATGCTGTTGTGAAACCTTCATTAGGTACCTACGCACATTCAATGTCCTATACTCGATGGAGACCAACTCCGTGCGAGCGTCAAATGATGTGTCTCTCCATGCCATCAAATGAGCATGAGCATATCTCTCGCCTGGTCGTCTCCAAACTCGTAAACGTCTCGTCTGTCTGAGCCCGGAAAACAGAATCGCGAGTCATCGGGTAGTAGCCCAAACCAAGTGTTCTAGTGAAAAATTCAATCTTGCAATCCGGTGTTTACGGGAAAGCGGCGGTAAAGTAGCTCCAGTTCAAGAAGATTAACCAGGAAGTCATCTCCTAACTGTCCACTCACTCATGTTTACACTTCTAACTTCGTGTGTTTCTGTAGCATCGCCTTGTCACGGTAATGCGGGGCTCTGCCGTAATTGGCCTTCTTTGTCTAGCTACTCGTGGGACTTTTATGGACAGACGCTGACGCTGAGTCTATACAAGAGATGGATGTCAAGCTTACGACTCGTAGTGACCTTCCTGTAAGCTTAGACCAGGAGCGAGTCTACAGAGGAGGTGGATGTCGAGTTTACGACTCTAACTGACCTGTCTCTAAATTTAGTTCAGGAGGGAGAGCTTGTCAACTCCCCAACTCCTGATCCAATAACTGAACCTAAAAAAAAGGTTTTGTGGTGCAACCAGGAAACGACTGAGTCGTTCCCTTATAAAACCACCTTGCACCAAATTCTTGAGCGGCGTACGCAGAATCTGCCTCAGGTGTGGGAACTAACCCCCATGAGCAGGTTAGCAAAGATTTGCGCTCAAGTGATGATTCACCAGAATCAGAGGCGAAAAAGCCTTGAATCTAAGGCATCGTCAGGTGTAGTTGGCGTGCAAAAACCCTCATATGGGAATGTTGTCGTGGGTATCAAAGTGAGAATCTTGTAACTTAACTATACGACTACCTCCTTAACAAAGTATATACTTTGTGCCTGCCCCGCTGGGGACCAAATCAGGTCTTTAGTGTTCAACTATCTGACCTGACCTGAAAGACCACTCACCATACAAACTAATCGGCTTCGTTAAGAAGCTGACTTTATTTGGCCGAGTGTGAATATGTGTGAGTCACAATAAACCCTTGCGGGTTGCGGTGGAGGGTCGAATAGCCCCAATCACTTAGGACCTAACCTAACCTAACTCAATCTAACTTCTTGCAGATGACTTCGAAGGGAAACTGCCGTAACTGTTCTGTTTCTCAAAGCACTAGATCCCTAGCTGTTATAGTTCTGCTTCGCCTTGAACCAAGTCTTCAAGTTAACAGTCCAGTTTCTTGGTACCGCTGCCATACTCGTTGCAAACTCGTGAGACTTACAACAACGTTTCTTGCAGTTTGGCGCTGACCGCGGCCATTTTCCAAAGCCGGTACAATAATTCTTGCCGCAACAACAGAATTTATTTCCATTTCTATACACCAACATTGACAACAGTTCACAAAGAAAGGGCAATTGACAAATCAAACTATCTGAAGAAATTAACTTTAAATGTTCAAGCCAGTTTCGGATTACCTACTTGTTAAATGGACTGACGCCTATCAGAAAACAACTACTCCCCTGGCTAATACCACGAACGGCGTTGAATCATATCCGACAGGCCTCAGTGCAGGAATCTTCACAAAAAATTTCTTGTATATGCAATTGGCAATTCAACTGAAAGAGTCGACCTTCAATTTTGGAACTGGCATACTTGCAGACCGGTTTCGTGCTCCCTAGCCACTCATTAGTGCAAGATAGTGACCATCATCGACCTAAGGTCAATGATATTCCATAATTGAAAATCGAAATATATCTAGTGGACGAAGTACTAACCAACAGCATATCCGAAATTTGCCGGAATCCTCTGAATAAGGAAGAAAAATTTCTTTATTAGTCAATGGGCTATGCTTGAAGACTGGCAGTGAACAAATCTAACGAAATGAACTTAGCCACAATTAGCCAAAACAACAAAGATTCGATGGTTCTGAGCAGTGTTTGAAGCTGTTCCACCACAAAAAAACACGAATTGATGCGTCAATATGTGACAATTGATGAAACATGGCTTCATAATTGCACGCCAGAATCAAAACGATAGTCATCTGAGTGGACTGCACGTGGTGAACCGACTCCAAACCATGCAAAGACGCAACAGTCATCTCGCAATGTTATGGTATCAGTATTTTGAGATACGACTATCTTGAATAGGAAAAACCATCAACAGCGACTATTACATGGTAATATTGGATCGTTCGAAAGATGAAATCGAGGAGAAACAGCCCCATTTGAAGAAAAAAAGTGCTGTTTTATGAAGACAACGAAACTGATGGCAAAATTGCATGAATTGGGCTTAAAATTGCTTACGCATCCACCGTATTCTTCAGATCTGGCCCCAGCGACTTTTTTCTGTTCTCAGACCTTAAGAGAAAGCTCGCTGTGAAGAAATTTAGTGCCGATGTTGAGGTATTCGTCGAAACTGAGGCCTATTTCGAGGTTAAAGACAAATCGTACTATAACAATAGTAGCTCGAAGGCTACTATATTGAATAATAAAATCAAATTCCATAATTTTTTCATGTTAGCCTACGAATTTTTCAGTTCTGATATAATTTTCTACTTCCTATATATTTTTCCTAAAGTTTCACAAAATAATAAAATTTACACCAAAACAAGTTGTGTTATAAATGTAATTATTTTTACTTTTCTGTTTTTGAATTTTGTATTTGTGAGTATAGAAAGTGTATCTTTTGTTTTGTGAGTAGTTTCCACATCATATCTATTTACAATTTTTTACACCTATTCAGATGATCGGTTACATATTGGAAGGGTTCGGTTTTTGAATAGGTGATTGTTGAGTTGGTGGTGATTGCTGTTTTATTATGGACATTTTCAGTCATATCTCATGCAACCTCTCGTATTCACGATTATTGTAAATAGATAAAGTAGTATATTTAAACAATCAGCAAAAAAAAATATTTCTCAACCAAATCGATGATTTTGCGAGGTTATCAGGTTCTGAGAACTGGAGACCGTTTTTCGAAAAAGAATTATTCAAAGAAAGAAATCGAGTATACACATTACTTTTACATTATTGTATCCATATTTCATAGGTTGAATTCATAAATATGTCACTAATCAATTAGTCACTAATCACTTACTAATCAGACTCTTTTGAAGACATTTATATTACTCCGAAAAGTTTTTCGGGTAAACTTTCTCGTTACAGCGCTTGAACAGATCAGATTTATTATAAATTTTCAGATTGTGGGAGGTTGAGAGTCAAAAAAATCAGAAATATTAACTACTTGACAAAAAGTCTATCAAAGAATTTATATTATTTGTCATTGAATTGATTGATAATCCTGTGTTTTTTGCAGAAATACTCAGCGGGGTTTGTTACAACAACAACAAGAAGGAGGATGATCGAAAAACGAAAGGTAACACCGATATTTTCGTTAAATTAACAACATTTCGAATATCAAACATATACTTCATAACCCAATTTGATTTGATCTAGGAATGTAAATTTTACGGCCGGAGATAACTGTGTGAGAATTATTTTGCGGGTTTTTTTGCCGAGGCATTGCGGTAGCTACTGCGGAGATAATCTAGTCAAATTATCCCCGTGTTCTTGAATTTATATAGCCTCTCAATACATTCTTGGATAGTGATTTTGAGTTCTAACAGGTATAGGTACTGTATTTGGAACACAGGGACCGAATCAGGTTTTTACAGTTCAGCAGAGCCGTACTTTTACCATCTGACCTGAAAGACCACTCACTATATAAACTAATCGGCTTCATTAAGGAGCTAGGTTTATTTGGTCGAGTGTAAATAGGTGTGAGCCACAATAAACCCTTACGGGTTGCGGTGGAGGGTCGAATAGACCCTCTCACTTTGGACCTAACATTACCTAACTGTATCTGCGAATGAGATGTGAGAACATGCTTGGCCGATACGGCTAATAAACGAAGTATTCCCAGTAGATATAACCGCCATCTCCGCTCATTGTTTATCATACACTTATCTTCAGTGGGATGGTGTCTTTTACGAACAAACGGATGAGTAGTCCATTAATTCCGGTGGTGGCAAACATTTTCTTGAAAAATTTCGAACAACGGGCCTCAGACCGAGCGGCCATGAAACCATATTGTTGGCTGTGTTATGTTGATGACTCGTGGTATGGCAAGACAGTGGAGATACACTAAACGATTTCCTATCATATCTGAATTCTCCGGACGCAAAAACCCAGTTCACAATGGAGCCAGAAACGCAAAGTACTCTAGATTTCTTGGATGTTCTTGTGAACTGACCTGAAGATAGTACATTGGGCCATAGATTGTACAGGAAACCAACACACACATACAGGTACCTGAACAAAAACTCTAACCACCAGCCACAACAAAAGATAGGAGTAATTGAAACATTGGTTGAGAGAGCATGACGTATATGTGAATCTGGGAGTCTTTCTGAGAAACTCGATCATCTAAGAAGAACCTTTAAAGGGTATGGTACAGCGAAAAAGAGTTCGAGTGAGGCATACGACCCAGGAGAGAGATGACCGAAATAACCCCAGCTAGGCTAGTCAAGGGAAAAGCTTTCCTTTCCTATGTTAAAAATGTTACAAACCGGAATGGGAGAATCTTAGACGTGAAACCAACAAAAACTCTCAGACAAAGTCTGAAGTCAGCTAAGCACCCCAGAGAACCTTCAGCAACACCCTGGGTACACCGAATTCTTTGAAGCTGCGGGTCAGTCTACACTGGAACCACGAGAAGAAGTATAGTACCCGTCTCTCTGAACACGAAGAAATCGAAGATACTTTCGATAAAACTCAAAATTACTGTACAAGAGTATATAGAGAAGCAATAGAAATTGGGAACAAATTAGGAAAAAAATTGGGAAAAATCCCAATTTTTTTTATGTATAACTTTCTTTTTGTTTTAGTTAAGGTAGAATCTTTTTGAGGTTGAGTGGAAGAACAACTCAGTAGCACTTGTGCTAACAAAAGCACAGATACTTTCGATAGGCAATGAATTTTGATAGAATATCTTATTCAATAATACTGATAACCGTTTACTAAAATTAAAAAATAATTAAGAGAAAAACTTAAATCATAATATAATTATATTCCCATTTACACTAATGGTATACAAACAAGATCAGGTAACTCAGTTGAGATGAATCCAGCCACGCCCATCAGGAGCACCAACTTGGGCACTGCGACCATTACCACATCGCCCTTGATAGTTTATACCGCTGTAGTAGACGGGCATAAAAACAGAGAGACCAATATGAATTATTCAATAAATTGATAGATGTAGCCGTTACTACGTGGTAGGAAATCATAATGAAGAAAAGAGAATTGGAACTTTCTATGTTTTTACCACTTTTATTTGTAACTAACGTTACTGCAGTTTCGTCCTACATCCTTATATTCCTTATATTTTGTATAAGTTTGAAAATGTCCTTATAGGACGAAAGTGCGATAACGTTAGTTACAAATAAAAGTGGTAAGGACCATAGGAAATTTCATTTCTCTTTTCTTCATTATGAATTATTCAATCAGCTAGTAAGGTTTCAGATATCACCTACTAGAATAATATCTATCTCAATTTTCTACTTGTTATAGTTATGATTGAGATAACTATCAAAAGATGTTCTGAAAGAACCATCATCTAGCCTGAAGTTTTTCAGAAAATGGAAACAGATACAACACAAATGCATCACAAATCACAATCTAGATGGTATTGAAACTGTTTTGAAGTAGAAGCTTCCTAAATGAACTGTTAATCCGTTTCCTTCAGCAAAAATAATTTTCGATCATTTGAATGTCAAGGAATATATCCAAATAATCAGATCATCTGAGGCGATAATGTGAGAATCTGAGAATAATAAATAAGAGAAATCCATATCGTGAGGCAGTGCCAATTCCCACTAAAAGTGTTGAGTCAATAAATAAACGTTTCGGAAGTAGTAATTCTGAGAACTTTAATAAAAGCTGATCAGATAAAAGAATCGAATCTGAATTGAAATCTAAATCACTTTCCTCTCTCAGTTGGTTGACATAATACTGCTATTTCATCAAATTGATGATCTTCAGCATCATTCTAAACCTCTGGTAAAATAACAAGGAAATCATTGATATTCATTTTCACTTATTTCTTGGATTATCTTTCAAACGTTTAAATTGTGTTCAGGTTCACAACATTTCGACAAATTCACATTTTTTTCCTGAATGTGAATCATAAATCCAATATTCCTCTAATGAAAATTTGCGTAGATTTCAACTCCATACAAAGAACAAATCGACAAAATTGACAAGCATTACGTAATCGGTAAACTGTGAACAGTCACATACAATTCTGAATGGTTTAATTGACTTTTTGAAAAAAATACTAATGAATCTCTCCAAATTACAGGATACACTCACAATCCATATAACGGTGTGGTCTGTAATGACATCATCTTAGCCACTGGAGTTTTCTCATCTAAGGAACTGTGGAAGTTATCCAAATGTAATTTTCAACGCTTTTATATAGAACTTTAGCGTCTAAATTTTGTTATTTTCAGCATCCATCCTGCACGAGCTCTCGGATACCCAACCCAACATGAATAACGTTAAAATTGAACATCCAGCCTTCTACTGCAACAGCTATTCCGATCAGGGACCCGTTGCAGATCGATCTTCCTCTGTCGATGCCATGGTGGTATCAGCAACTTACTGTGAGTAAAATAATTTTATGATTCAAATAATGGAAGAACAGAAACTACTATCACCAAGAATGTATAGATAGATATTGATCACATCGTTAATAGATATCCCAGATATCCCCACAGTTTCCATAATACTCCGATTCCATCATAATCCAGTCATTTAAGCTTAAATTATGTAAGAATCTCGGAATTCGAAATACCCAGCTGTTAGTCTGTAAAAACTTGTATATTGACACCCTAAAAGTTGTCTCAAAACCTAGGGTAGGGTGTAAGCAACTATTAAATTTCAAGGTCAAAGTTTACAGCTGAGTATCTCGAATTCCGAGGTGAACTAACTATAATGACTGGACTATCATTTGTTCCTCAAAAATTCTCGTGAAGAATCCTGTGAATGTCTTCAGGATAATATAATAGTGTTGAAGAGAAGAGAAATGAAACTTTCTGTTTTTTACCAATTATTTGTAACTAACGTTACTGCAGTTTCGTCCTATACGGACCTTTCAAAACTTATACAGTAAACTAGTATATTTCGGCCCCTTGGACATTGTTGAAATTTCCTCTTTATCAAATCCTACTTTGGTCGAGTTAATGATTCTTTCGCTGAACTGGATACCTGGTTCAACTGATCCGCTGTATATGATATGTTGTTGTTTCTGTATTAGTGCCCTAAATTTCTTGAGTTGAGTTTGGTAGTTCCGGTATATGAAATCACTAATTATAGACCTAACTTGGTCATAAAAAATGTCAAATTCTATCTAGTAGAGTTTATAAGTAAGTTCAGGGTGTAATTCCTTTATATAATGTTGCAGGATACTCCTTTTTTGAGAACAGTGTCCTGCACTCTTGTTTTAGCCAGATCACTTGTGCCTTCATTATCGCCTTCTCCGCTGCTGGTGTTTTTATCCTGATTCTGATGTTAATGTATTTCGGGGTAATTTTTCTTCCCAGGCACTCTATGATTTCCTACCACGTAGTTATGCTACATCCATCAATTTATATAATGGTGTCTTTGTAGGACATCCTGGATCACTGATCCTTGACTCATCAGCGAGAATTGTGTCAGCCTCTTCCTGTGATATGGTTTCCTGATGTCTTTTGGCATTTTCTCAAGAAAAAATTACGTATAATAATTATTATAAAAACTATACATTGTGTTAGCATTCACGTGAAAACTATGACATCAACGTTGAAGTTGTTTTTGATGGACATAGAATCATTATTATTTATTCAATAATTTCCAAACAACAAAAATTATTGTTCATTCACATTAGGAATCATTCGAATACATTAGATATGGATTTTCATCAAGTATCGGCCATTTCCATCATATATATCCTGTTCTTCAATAAATCATTTCGTGAGCTAGTTTCGGCATTTGTTACAATAGCTTTGGGCTTGGGCATGCATATTAATGCAATACCAATCGATATGAACAAAATGAATCAGTCTGTAGATGTTTCGTGCTTCAAATGATTATGTATATCTGAGTTGACTGAGAAACTTTTAATATTAATAATTTCTGTCACTCGAGTCTGGTGAGTATAAATACAGGAAACTGGTAATATTATGTATTTTCTAAACAGCAGCTCCTGGCAATGATGGAACTGAAGCATCTGAAAGAAATCGTTGATATATAGGGTCTTTCATTAAGCGCAAGTGTGTGGGTCTGGGGTATCATAAAAATTTCTCATTCCTTCGAAAGACCTATGCCATCATGTGTGGGTGAGGCGCATCCAAAATGTCCAATTTTCCATTACTCTGGCGCATAAATCAGGCTGGATTTGACCGATGGCATGGGTTATGTTGGCTTCGAAGTATGCTGTGGTTTGTGATTTATCCTCATACACCTGCGATTCAAGAAAACCTACAGAAACAAGTCTAACGGGGTCAAATCACACGATCTTGGTGGCCCTCTAATGACTCATGAAGAATATCCAATGTAGCATGAGCTGTGTGATACGTAGCACCGTCCTGTTGAAACTGCATGTCGTTGTTGTCCAGATCATCTAATTCAGGTCGAAAGAAATCGGTAATAATCGACTTATAGTGCTCGCCGTTGACACTGACGGCTTGGCCAACATCGTTCTCAAAGGAATATGGACCCATGACGCCGCCAGCCGAAAACCCACAACTAGCAGGAACTTTTTCAGTATGCATTAGACGCTTCTGGATCTCATGTGGTTTGGTTTCGTCCCAAATTTGACAATTTTGTTCATTCACATACCTATTCATCTAAAAATGGACCTCATCGCTGAAGATGATTTTCCGATAAAAATTTGAGTCAGTTGCCAGCTGCTCCAGAGCCCATTCAGCGAACATGCGTCGTTGTCTAAGATTGTTCACCTCCAGTTCCTGAGTCAGCGGGATTTTGTACGGGTACTGGCCCAAGTGACGACGCGAAATTCGCCAAGTTGTGGTCTGCGAAAGGCCGAGTTTTTGTGGGCGACGCGAAATCGATATCCTTGAATTTATATGCACACTCTCACAGACAGCGGTGAAGTTTTTGATTTAACTTGCTTTTCATCGACGTACGGGTGTTGGTCGAGCGTTTATTGAACCACATAGTACTCTTGGTAGGACGATTATGGCGACCGTAAAATGGGCGAAGGGCGCGATACGTTGCCCAAACAGAACACCAATTTTAGTATTATTTGCAGGTGTTGTTGAATGCTATATCCGTCCATGGTGGTTTGACAAAACAGTCTAAACAATGACAAATAATTTGACAGTCCCTGCTGGAAGACCCTGTTGAAGTAACACTTCTGAAGATCATTCATTTGAACAAGGAGAAATAGCAAAAATAAGGATATATTTGTTCTGTACCTGTATCTTTATAGTAGGGAGGGTGAGTATAGACCCACAGCACTTAGGCCACATGTGACCCATTGTACATCCTCCCAAGGAGTCGTCCTCCTAGGTCATCATCCATGCTGTCTTTTCTAGGAAGATGGACAGGTCACTAGGAGACATCTTCTTTATATTGGGAGGTGTAGGCAACCTTGCGATATCTCACGGCAGCTCCATAAAGGTTTTGGAAGGTGCAGCGACATTACTGTCGTTGTGCGGCTTCTTCAACCTTCTTGGGGTTCCCTCCGTGGACAAGTAAATAAGGGACAAGTAAAGGAGCTTTCCTGCAGGGGCAGCCTATTCCTTGCCTTTATTCAGGGCGGAGTCCCTGGCGCCTGCCGCAGGAAGTGCCCTTGCTGTTGGAGATGGAGTGGAGTGGCCTCGGTGCCGCAAAAGCGCTTACGCCTTGTCCTTTGTATTACATCACGAGGTGCTCTGCAAGGCATCGCCTTAGATTGGGGTGAGCACTTTTGTCCAGCCTCGGGATTGATTTTTGTTTTTGTTGTTTCTGTTTGTTTCATTCATGTGTGTTTCCACGAGTAGCAAGGGAAGAATTGGTCACCTCTGACAGAGCCCTGCATTACCAGAGGTAGGCTGATTACAATGAGGTTTCTCCCAGTTTCTCAAGCGGATTGTTCGTGACCGCATATCACCCTGCAGTCATTCAGCTGTCGGCACGATTCCTTAAACTTCAGCTGAGGTAGGCTGGTCCACGTCGGGATGTTTTGCAAAGGCTTTTGGGAGGTTTTAGTTCCCCTCACCCTACTTATTTCTGCCACTGACCAGGATCCCGGCGACCCCGTCCGTAAGACCACATTAGCTTCCCGTACAGGGCCTCCAGTCCTCTGGCCGTTCCCCTATCCGCCACCTGCGGACGCACCCGATAGGTGGCCCAACTTAAGGGGGATACATTTGTTTTTTTTTCTCTGCAAAAAACTGCCCGAAAATAATGATGATTGAAGACAAACAGAAAGTGATAGAGGCCATTCAATTCTACTATCACATCCAGATAGTGATAGAGGGCATTGCTGTGTTAGAGGTATCTACGACTTTTACACTAGATATTGAAGAATTTTTTTCAACCGGTCAAAAATAAAATCTCAAATTATCCTGAAGTGTACTGTACAGAACTGCCGAAAACGTGAATATGCGATACAAACGTTTTCTAGCATCAGCTTCAAAGAACAAGAGTATGTTCAGCTATAAACCGAGTGGACAATTTGATTCTGGATGATGAAACCAGCATGTAGGTAGTCGACAGGAATTTAAGTGATTTATTATTAGATCATTGCAAGCCAAGGCACTGAGATAGGTGAGGTTTACACTCAATTCTATATACATACGGGGGATATCAAATAGTAAACTTATGTTAAATCTATTAAAAATATTTTTCAAATTTTCTGGAAGGTAAAATTCATTTCTCATGAAGACATATGCATGTATCTGAATAGTTAGCAATCTGAGTATTTGAATTTGCAATTGGCATTCAGGATCAGATCGTAACTTTGAGGAACTACATAAATAGATATGAACTCTTTGGAGTGTATTTTCGTGAATATTTGTCTTGATTAGCTGTGGTCAATCCGTTTATATTTCCGTTTGTGGACATGTTACCAGGTGGTTGTTATGAAGAAATATAATTTCCAAACAACAAAAATTATTGTTCATTCACATTAGGAATCATTCGAATACATTAGATATGGATTTTCATCAAGTATCGGCCATTTCCATCTTCATGTATGCATCTCATACATATAGTTCAAACGAAATTAATAATTTTGTACCACTTCAATAAATTTACTATTTCAAGAGATATATAAAAAAAATATTGAAAAAGGTATCATCGAAACTGAAGGCTTCCAAAGATTGAATATTTTACATGTTTCTTCACGTATCTAGAATGTTCCTCACGTATTGATCAAAGATATAGACTGGTGAACAGTTAGGAAGCCATGATCAGGACAGAAATCTTGTAACTACTACGGTTTGGTTTCGAATCGTAATGTGAGACTTTCTTCATTGGGACGGATTGTATTAGCTGTCTCAGATATACAACTACAGCGCTAAATTCCATTCCGATTAGCCATGCGAGGACCTACTTTAGCACCGTAGAGCAAGGTCTTGTTTACTTTTTTTTAATGAATACCTAAGATCAGCAATTCAGTATATTACCTCACCCCGTATACACAGGACTCACAAAAATCTTGCAATTAATCTTCAGAGTTTGGTTGGAGCTTTCGTCACGTCAAAAAGTTCCGTCTTTCAACAAAGAACAACACGAAAGATAGGCATCTTCCCTATATTGATTTAGGCGGACTACATTATCAAGATTACGCTGCACATTTTCGGAGAATAACAGTATTTCAATCTACGAAAACTTCCAAAAGTCATCATGGTTCACTCGAGGCAATGAAAACTAAAAGTAGAAAATAAGTTTTCATAATAAAAAGTAACCCAGTGGAACTATTGACGATTGGACAATTTTCAACCATGCTTTGTAAGGTTTCCAATTTATTCAATGGGTATTTATGAATATCCGTCATAAATTATTATCAGAATTGATATCAGTCGTTTCAATAAAATTTACTGAGAGGATCAGACGGTTTAGCGAAATCTTCCTTTCCAGTATTCTCCAATTTTTGTAACCAATTTCTTCTAGATCTATCGGAACCATTCGACTGATTATCCTCAATTACCATAATTAGCAAGTATGAATCAATGTTGATCAGTCAGAGTCAGGGTCGACAGTTTGTATCCAAAGTGCCAAAATATCAAGAACTAATACTTCTGACTTTGCAATAGTTATCATTGACGGATTTACTGAATATTTTGAATTTGATTTCGAAGCAATTGATGAATTGAAGGTTTATCTGATAAAAATGAAAACCGTAACCAAAAAGACAATTATGTTTTCTTCAATCATGACTCCGGCTGTGAAATGCTGTGTTCAAAGCTTCTGAATATAATGAAATGAGACTGTTCTGAGTTGAACTCAGCACATTTTCGAAGTTGTTTTTGCAAATCGACACAATATATTGTTCAATATAATCTGAAGTAAACACAATGACTGTTTAAAGCTAATACAAATACACTTAAATATTGTTTCATCGTCATCTTTTTCTTCATTATTTTTTTTTCAATCAGATCATTGTAAAACTTGTAAGTTTATCAATTTCCTAATATTTTTTCAGCAATGCCTCAAAATACTACACTAGTGTCTTCCAGTTCACAAGCAAGTCCGAGTACGTTGTTTTACCAACACAGTCCTGAAGCTCATTCACAACATCAGAATCACGTGAAATATCCAGAAAATGGCCACGACACACTCTCTGATTTTGTCACTTTCGTCTGCCAGGAGACGGACAGTAACCAAAATTCGCAAGTAAGTGATAAAACCATATTGATATAAACATATCTCTGTTTTTTCAAACTCATAAATTGAACATACAGTGAAATCCTTCACATACTAGTACAGGAAACAAGGTAACAAAAACTAGGCTGCAGTGTTTTCCTGAGGCTTGTCAAGGCAGTTCCTAGGTAAAGAAAAGATCATCATTTATGACCCAGCCTTAGTTCATCTGGCTCTGCTCTCGAATGTGATACGTATAATTGGATATTGATTTGTATGAGGAGAGATCAGCAGAAATCACACATAAATCAATGAAAGTATATTTGGACATCTGAGTGGCTTTGGAAGCTTCCGACTCTCATCAAGTAGCGTCCAAGTTTGCCCTCTATAGAATGACTTTTCTGAATTTCTGGTTACACTGGTCTGGAAGGTAACAGAACTCCTTTGCAAGGGTTCTTTCATAAATTTCGAATTTATGGTAGATTTATGAATGATCAGCTTCATGTACGGGCCATGATTGAGCTGAAGCGGTGCCAAAACACAGTGTTTAGATCACCAGTTATTCAATGTGGAATTGAAGTATACATTTTAATGAATGTCCAAACATGGCGAGTAACTTCAGGCCAATATCTTTCACAACGAATTCATCCAAAAATCTTCGAAAAAATGCCGATAATAGGCTAATACTTTTTGTTAGGGACCCACAATTCCTTTCCACAAATCAATTCGGATCATTCAAAGCAATTATTTATTCGCGAGTTTTGCATACATTGGAAGATCTAGGTCTAGAGAGGAATGGATTGGTTTAGAGACGTTCAAGAGCTCATATGGCATATGATGTTCCTCAGGGCACAGTTCTGGGTCCCATGCAAAGAGAAATTCACAGGTTATGCGAAAGAGAGAGACATGCACAGAATTCAAGCACAAGTACAAAAGATTTCTATTCTATATAAACCTATTACTTTTCTGAACTGATGACCATGTACCGCAGATTCAATCTATTGACTTAATGAAGTACTTGGGATTGATTGGCATCTGAGGTGAAGGGCATCCGTTATTTTCAGCTATCTCCGTAATAACTTCTTTCTTGATTTCATATTTTTCTTCGCTCAAATGGAATGTGACCAGCTCATGAACAAGGAATTGTAGCCCTGCAATTTTTTTCTGTGGGGAATGATGGGAGCTGTCACTTTTCACATAATGTTGACTCTAAAATTATTTCAACGAATAAAAATATAATTTACATTATCATGATCATGTATATATTATAATTTTATTACTTCATATACCCAAGTGAAATAGGTAGTAAAATAATTCAAAATATTGTTTTTGTTCATAACGAAATAAGTGATTCCTCACTTATTGTTTTATTCACGAATGAAATTCAATCTATCAAACGACTATTATATTTTGAATTCACTGTATTCCATATCTAGCGGAATTTCAACATCAAAAACTTGAAACAAATAGCATTTCTGACCTAAATCCGACCAATTCAACTTCTTCCTTCACAACGTTTTCATGTCTACCTTGTTTAACTATATTTTTTTGCAGATGCCATCAAACTTATCACGCAGCCCGAAACCCCAATACTTCCCTTCGACGATGCTTCCACCACCCCCTCTACCCCCAATGGCCAGGCCAGTAGCAATAATTCGATCCACCTGTGACGTAACGATGAGCGGGAACAATTCTCCTCCAGCGAGTATCACGCCACCTTGCGGAGAAACATCCCCATCGGACGAGGTGCCAGAAATGAGTTCTTCACCGCCGTTGAGTCCGGGAAGCCACGAAATGAGGAAGTCGCCATCGCAAAGGAATTCTGTGCCAACCAGTAGTCCCTACTCTCCTACTCGGGATTATTCCTTTAATCACTTCCATGGCCAGCCAGGACATGTTGGTATTGAATATTGGGGTCGAAAGGAAGGCTCGTATATCCTCTTGTATCATCAACCTCTACTCAGAGAAAGTGGTATCACTTGATAAAGAATTTTCAAATGGTGCAAGCACAAATCAGTTCTGTTCATTTCAGTTTCTAGTCGTTCACGATATCGATTTTACCACTGTCTTATATTGAATACATGCGGGACTATAGATTAGACTCTATGCATGGTATATTAATGGTGGGAGATGGTTAATTTATTAAATCATGGCAAAGTTGACTAATTTCAGGTACTTTCGAACGATACCATAAAATACACCCCAATTCTTTTATTTTCGAAAATAAAGGCGAAAACTGAATAGTTTCATTTTTTATCGACACTATTTGGAATGAAATGAAATGAAATGCTTTATTCAAATAGGATACATCCCAATATATACAACAATGATAGTAATTTTAACATTAATATACATATAAATACAATAACACAAAAAAGATCTACTTATATTTGTTAATAAGTAGTCTTACCTACGATAATTGAAAATACAAAAAAAATTAAAGAAAAAATATCACATAATACCTCAATGGTCTCTTTAATGGTCTAATAAATTTCTTTTGAACAGAATAAGACTGTTAGAAGATTTAACATTTTTGGGTAGACTGTTATACTTAATAAATCCTTTGAACGTGTTAGGAATCACACGTTAAAAGGTAAGACCTCGTTAGTCCTTAGCTCGCACAAGTTTCTTAACTTCTGAGAGTTGTCGTTCGTATGGGGGTGTAGGTGAAATGGTTATTCATTGATAGATGATTGTCTAACATGAATCCTAGATATTTGAAATCAGTAATGAGCTCAATTTCATCATTTTCTATTTTTATTTCAATTTGATTTAAATCTAATTTTCTGTATTTAAACGGTGTAATAAGTACCATAGCCTTTGTTTTGTTTACATTTAGCTTCAATTTAGTAGTTTTTAAATATATAACAATATTATGCAATGCTTATATCCTATATTTACGATATCGAAATCTTATTGTACTACGTCATAAATGCATTTAAAAAAATGCGTTACTTTTCAGCAAACTTATTTTTCTACAAAATTGACCCATGCCATGATACCAAACAACTTCTGATATGGACAAATTATTTGTTAAAAACTTTTTCCTTTACTATTTTGACTATTTTCAAGTAGTACCGAATTATACCAAATAATCTAATGTAACCCCTTTGGTTTATAAAATATACAGAAAAACTAGGAAGTTCAATTGTTCTTGTCTATATTTTCTCCATTTGCGATATTGAAAATCTATTATTGGTGAAGAGGAGCAACACTGAATGTGAAACATACCTATGTATACAGAAAACCCACTCACACGGGACAGTATCTGAATGATGAATCCAGCCACCATCAATCTACCAGAAGAGAAATCATCAAGACTCTAGTAGATCATGGTTTCGGGCTCTGTGATACGAAGAAAGGTTTCGAAAAGAAACTAGCCATCATCAAAAAAGATCTTCAACGGAATGGTTGATCCAAAGAGAGTATAAGAGAGACACACAGTGAGGAGAAACTAGCAGGGCATATTTGGACTCACAATATAACATCAACTGATCCTATGCTGGAATCATCCACAGGGGAGGATACTGGCTCAAGAGGAAGTTCGAAGAAGGTGCATTTATGTTGGCGAAAAACCGGTCAACTCCTACTAAACCGGTGAAGCGGTGAGAGGGAAGAGGGGATGAGTGAAAGCGTTTAAATGACCAATAAATAGTTATCTCTCGGAGGAATAGTCCAGTCATCAACCGAAGACGATTGTAAATACTGACAATCGAAATGTCGTGGAATGAATTGGTTTGAAATCTTTTTGATTTCTTATTGCATTTTTAATTGTTCAATCTAGTATTTTTGACTTGTTTTTTATTTTAATATGATTTCATTACGCGGTTTGTTGCTTGATATAATGGTTGCTTTTCAGCTAATCATTCGAATTTTCATTTATTTGGAGTGGAGACAATGTCATGTTTTTTTTATTTGGTAAATTGGTATAAAAAATACAGTCCCGTTGATGGTGGCCCAAGTTAAATGACACCTTGTACAAAAGATCTATGAACATATTTTGATAGCTTATTGACAATTCCCCTGATAAAATATGCATAATCGTCACCAATTGAAAACATACAGTTTTCTCGTATTTCTTCGAAGCCCAAAGAAGTGTAGTCGACTTTTTGGTATCATTCGAAACTATTAAAAAACAAACAATTTTGCTACTCACTATGAAAGCTCCTCTACTGACAGTATGTAAAAGCTTGAGAGTCAAAAGTCTCAAAATGGGGAATTTAAATCATGTCATTGCTACGATCAAATTTTCAGATTATATCACTAATTTGTAATTTGAAATTCTCCTAAAATATCATTTGAGTAAAGCCAAACGAATATGTTTTCGAACCATACGTGTTTACAAATAATGTGAATACCGCGATCGCGACAGAAAATGCCGTTTTTTACTCACTTGGTTATCACTATTTGGTCAACAAACTCATACATCATGTTTGATTCAACTACTTGTAAAATGATTCATTGAAAATTGCCTAAAAAAATGAATTCGCCTAAAGATGACACCCTTGCATACCCACATCCCACACAAATATTTTGAAGACTTCTGAGGGTTGTTCGAAGGTAATTGTTGGTTGGTAATTTAGACGATATGACAGTTCACGCAAAGGTCAATGATACAGAAAGAATACGAGTTTTCCTTCAACAGTAGACTTATTTTAGAAATATTCGAAATTTTGATATTGATATTTTTCACAGCTATTCACGTACCCCAGTATGACAGGAATGACTGGAGTTATCAGTCCCACGAACCTCAGCATGTATTCACCAGGTGTGAGTACGTCCCGAGGTATGTATAAAGAGTTATCTACTTTTTTTTTCAAACTTCCAACCTTTCTTCGATATTTGAGACTATCAAGGTTGCAAGTGATGTCTCCAATCAGGCGGTCGGTTTTTCTTCTGGATGGAATTCAGCAGCTTCAGGGTATGTTTAGGGGCGAAGCCACTTACATGTGAACAATACTCCAAAGAGGATCTGATCTGAGCCTTATAAAGCATCAAAAGTTGCAGAGGATTGGCCAGTTCCTTGGTTTGGCACAGTGTTTCAAGCTTGTGGGAAGCAGCCCTTGCAACTCCAGCGACATGATTGTGCTAAGACGTATTGGTGTCCATTTTAACCCCTAAAAAACTTATCGAAGCAAATAGCGGAAGTATCTGTCCTGACATAATTATATTCGGCTTGGAGATATTTATCTTTCTGGAGAAAACCGATGCCTGGGTTTTTGTGGCATTGAATTGAACCTGGTGGCAAAGTTTTCAAAAATAATCAATTTTTTAATAATAACTGAGATAATTTTGTAGACATCTTTGGCATATTTGGTACATATGTTCCATGCCTCAAGGCGCATTTTCTGATGTACAATTTTCTTAATTTTCTCTGCCAGTGGCGTACGTACGAGTTTTGAAATGTATATTTTTGGCGAAAAAAATACTACGCCACTGCTTTATCTTGAATTAAAAAT